ATTTTCCAACAGGGGTGGAAATAAAAATTCCAACAGAAATTACATATTCCAGTTGAAATTCATACGGTAAGTAAGTCATTAGAAATATAGCCGTTGGAATCATCAAATTCCATCTAAAATTCCAATGAAAAACACATTCTAACGGAATATTTCTGTTGGAATCATTTCAAGCTATACCATTAGAATATTCGTTGGAATTTTCATTGGAATATATAAACATAAGATTATTCGTTAGAATATACCAAAATTTTTTATAGTGAATATGGAGTGCAGATTCAAATAATTAGGCTAGGACTGAGCACTAAATACATTATAGTAGTAGGATTTATCTTGCATTTACCCAAAATATGAGATAACCACATTAAAACTCACATTAATGATGTGTTTATTTGACATGTTGAGTGTGCACCTCAATCCACCGCCAAAGACCAACTATATATATGTACTCATGTTGTACATTGAGATGTGAGATAAAAGGCACAATTCAGTACAATTATTGATTATTATTCTATCTCCCTCGTGATAAAAAGCACAATTCAGTACAATTCAGCACAATTCAGTCCATTAACCATAACCATTCATATACATTAGTTTCACTTGCAACTCCAATTCATTTACACAATTCAAATACCCAACAAATAACTAAACAAGAATAGAGTGTGTTGATATAGCACCCAAAATAGCTTGATGGACCGGCTTGAGTATTTAGCTCGGGTTCGACCGGTCTAAGAGAGTATTAGCTTGGTTCCAGTGCTCAATCTGGTCATGGAGCTCACTCATGAAATAAAGACACCATGTAGATTCAAGTAAAGAGGTAATAATAACTCCAAACGAGTTGAACTATTGAGGGTTTGCTCACAAAAATGCGACCAGCAGCTTTTCACTTTCACAATGAGTCTGCTAATATTTCCAAAGGTTTCCAGTACTTATGCCGTCTTCTGATCTCTCCATTTCAACTCAAGACACATTATTCCGTCATATGTCCTCTTTTTCAATTTCGAAAGGTTCGCCCACTGCACGAGCTGCCATATTTTCCTTTGACGGTTTTCACGTGCACTTGCTCCAGATCGTGCCGCCAAAAGTAGGGCCCTGTCCCGAGGCTCATGTTTGCAAGAAAGATGTTGAACTGAAACTCTGAGAGCATGTGCTTGTTCTTGGCTGACTTGCTCACGAGCCTACAACCCGATATATGCCTCGGTCGACAAACACGAAACAAACCATTCGTAAAGCCCGAGTACCAAGATGCCGTGCGACATTTTCTAGTACTGAAGTCTAAGTTGTCCACCACCACAGGCGGATGGTTGCCTAGAAGATGATTGTAGTCGGCATCACTGCACGGCACGTTCAGAGGGCTGCCGTCCATCTTCAGACTCAGAGAAATTCGAGACCCACTTAGTGCCTTGAGCATTCGTCTCAGCTTAAAGAACCACAAATTGACGTCGAAATCGGGATCATCCTCACTTGAAAAGAGGCTTACATGTGAGTGCCAGTTCTTGGTAGTAGTGATCATGAAAGACAATGTGTCCGGCACCTGGGAACCATGGGTAAGGAAATGAAAATTGACAAGGTTTGGGGCACAAATGGAAGCTCCTTTAAGCGGTATTTCGCTGCTCGAGATGGTCAACCACTTGACCGAATCACTTGTAAGATGGAATTCCTCGAAACCGGAGCAATGACATAGGGTCAACCTCGCAAGAGTCGGGCAGCCGAACGATAAGAGATCAAACGACTCACTCGACAGGATCACATTCCAGAGAGACAAACTCGTGAGACAAGAGAACAAGAACACGCTTTGGCAGTGAGACCAAATCCATGGGCAATTGATAATGACATTCTCGAGATTTAGGACATCGAATTCGATGCTACGCCCTTTGACCCTCTGGTAATAATTAGACAATTCAAAGTGCTTGAGCCTAGGCAATGCCTCCTCGCTCAGCCTAACGTTTCTCAACCCCTCACAACTACGAAGGACCAGACGCCTGAGCAAAGGGCAACCCGAAGTTATCTTCTCAAATGTCCCGCCATCAACTTTGACAAATTCAAGGGTGAACGTGCGCAAACGTTTCAACCGAAAGCTCTCAACCGGGCTAAGCCTGCATTTGCACAGGTGTAGTTCTTCGAGGGACTCGGCTAAGAAGACTGCCGAGGGTAGGTCGTAATACAGCCTATTATATAAAGAAAAGGTGAGTTTGAATGCTTTTATGTTGAGGGCGGCTATTATCGGGATCCATTTGTCGAGAAGGGAGACGACCGGCCGTGAGACCCACCATAAGTCGAGATGGAGTGGACGGGAGAAGACCGGTAGGGAGACCCACGCTAAGTCGAGATGGAGTTTGTGTATGGAGAGGTTTCGATCACAGTATCCTTGTAAGGTTCGGTTGACTACGGAGACAAAGTTTTGTTGTGTAGTGTTGAACCCTTTGTTGGAGCGAGTTGATCCTGTTGGAAAAATAATGATTGTAAAGGCGAATTAAGAACGAGTTCAACACATATACGTATTAAGAATT